AAGTAGATCCAACGTCACTCACAATGCCCGCCGCCATCGCTACGTGGAAAAAGGAAAAAAACTTGTGACTCCGGCTCCCGGGAATGGCGGCTCTGAACCTGGAAGTGACAGAATGTTTGTCATTTCGGGGTTCATTCATCACAGATGAGATCGGGGGATCAGATCCTCTCCAAGCTCCTCCTGCTTAGTAAGATGAAGTGGTTTACCGATGTTCCTCCGTCCTGGACATCCTGGAGGAAACACGGCAGGCACCAGCAGGGGAGGGGCGGCACATTCTCTGTACTGTAAAGTGATTGGCTGCTTCTACAGCTGCCCGGATCAATTTTACATGACCGCTGGCTGAAATAATAATACAAACCTCATTTGTGTTTAACCCCTTGAATACCAGAAGGATAAGAAATGTACCTTAGTAGACGAGGGGTCGGGTAATGAGGTGAAGCTCTCCTGACTTCCATCAGCCAATCATGTGGAAGCAAAATTGCATTTTTTTACATTTTCTTTGCATGTGATTGGATATTCTTTGTAAAGTCAGATTTCACCGCATTCACTAAGCTCCGGGGGAAAGTTCTGTGAAAAGTGTAAAGTGAACAGCCTAGTTGTATTTAGTAAATCCCCCCTCTGTCTGTACACTGAACTGTCCGGAATGCAGGTCTGGGGCCAATAATGATGCAGACAGCTGACATACATGACATGGATCCTAATACCCCTCCCCCTCCTCTCCCACCCTACTTAATATAGACCAGCAGACTAGAATATCCTCCTGCGCCCCCCTGCACACTGACACAGGATGGGGGATGGTGTGGGACAAGGCAGGGGGGGGCATGTTCTCATGGAAGATGACTGAATGAGATTTTGAGCTTCACCCTTGTCTTTGCTGGTATATGGAAGATCACTTGGTGGGTGGTAATGGAGCTGAAACCCGGCAATGAAGCAATCTACAGTACAGCTACCATTACTGGTCCCTCAATGGTCCCAAGGTCAGTGAGAGATCTCCATAATGTTCCTCTCTGCCCCCCACCAAACTTCCTCTAACCCCCTCAACAGAGCTACGAGGCCTTCTTTTAGTTTTGTGTTAATTAGACCTCAGCAGGCAGTTGTCACCGACAATCTGTCCAAGAGTTCCCTTTACTGTCCCAGCACCTCAATGCATCCTTTGACCCCCCCCCCCCCCCCCCACCCTCAGTCCCAGCACACAGCTAACCCTTTGATCGTCCCCCTCATGTTAACCCCTTCCTGCCCAGTGTCATTAGCACAGTGTCAGTGCTTTTTTTTTTAGCACTGATCACTGTATTGGTGTCACTGGGGATGTCAGTGACACCAAGTCAGTTTCCCCCAGTGTCAGAACTCCCATGCCAAAAAAAAAAAAAAATGTGTGGGGGCCCCACAAATGGAACATACCAGACCCTTATCCTAGCATGCAGCCCGGCAGGTCAGGAAAGGGGGGGGGGTGAGCGAGTGCCCCCCCCCGTACCATATCAGGCCACATGCCCTCAACATGGGGGGTGCTTTGGGGACAGGGGGGGCTCCCATCATCTGAAACAGAGCTTTTTTAAAAAATAATTTTATGGTAGGCAGCGGCAGTGGCGGTGATGGCGGACAGCTGTGATTGGTGTTGGATCTACTGGGGGGGACATTCTTTTAGTTTTTCCTTTAATAGAGGACTTGTCACAGACCCTGTCCTGTCTTTTTTCACACTACACTTTTTTTTTTTTGTGAATGTGTAGCGGTACCACATGTACCCCATGGACTCCTTCACATGATGGGCAAGATGGACAGGGAAGGAAACACAATAATTGTTAAAGGGGCCTTCCAGAGATGATAATGGGGGAAGAAACTAATTGAATTTGGGACCTTTTGTTGAGAAGGGGCAGCTGTAATTACATGGCTAGGGACCTTTGGCACACAGAAGTAGAATACTAATTGGAGGATGCTCTTCCTATGGCCAGGATGGATTAAAGGAACAAGGAATTAATAACTGGGAATTAATAAGTGGGCTGGCAGAGAACTCATATCATGACTGCAGCTGAAGAAGTCATCCCGGTGTTAGAGCCGAGGGTCTGCTTTCTTATAAAAGCAATCCAACCAGATAATTAGCCGCTGGATTGCTTTTACAGGCAGCGGAGGGGACCTCCCCCCTCCCACCACCTTCTGTGTGGCCCTCTCAGCCTCTCCTGTCCCATAGAAAAAACAAGGCCAGATGGTCCCTGATGGCCTCCTGATACAGGAAGATGGAAGTGATGGTACTGTTTGTGCACAGAGAATGATGACATTCATCCTCCTCTTTCTGGGCTGATGGAAGGCATTTTATGCTGTGTAAATCTAAAGTGGGGCCTGTTGGATAATGACATTTTCATTTCCCTGTCTGCAAGCCACTTCTAAAGGGTAAAATGTATTCACTCGCCCTTTCCACCGGTTGGGCCCGTCAGAACTTTTAAAAGTGGATCCTCTTGCTCAGCGGGGGATCTCTCTGCTGATCGCTGTTGGGCAAATGGATGACAAGCCTGCTGTCTGCTTCGCTTATACAGATGTAAATAAACATGGACACGGCCCGCTGTCCTCTATGGGGGTCAGACTGCCATGTGATCCGATCCAATGGACAGAAGGGGAATGGATCCCCATCTGTCTCTTTTTGGTGGATTTCGGAATGTCGGCGAGTGTAAAGGGACACATATCCGTTTACACCTGCCGCTCCATAGAGGAGAATAGAGGTTTCAACCTGATCGGGTCCGGACCCAATCGGAACGTCCGTGTGAAAGGGGCCTAAAAGTCTGATTACACTGATCTTGGTGCGATCAGATGTTAAGGGCAGAGGAGAGATTTGGAGGCTAATAGACCCCCCCAGATACCTGTCACTGTCCATGAGTACCTGTCACTTAAAAAGCAATCCAAAAAATCGTTAGCAAAGCCGACCTCAAATTTGGATTGACAATGTCAACAATAAATGGAAAGGAATATGCAGCTTTTCCCATGACATCCCCCCCTTCGCCTGAAGGTTTGTGCGCAAAAGGTGAATGCACGAGACATGCCGCACGCTTTCAAACAGTTGGATGGACCCCACATGATGACAAATGTGAGGAAAACAGGCCGTGTGAACATCAGATCGAGGGCAGTAATTTTTCTAGTTACTAGACCTCCTGTGTAAATCTAAAGTGGGGCCCTGTAAAGGCTTTTATAGCATCTCCTGTGGATAATGACATTTACGTCATTTGTGGCTGTTGCAGGCGTGCGCATTTTAAAGAAGCCTGACACGTTTGGTATTTTATTCACTCACACCATACTAACATACATTTTTAAACATGTTACCCCAAACCTTTGGTGTTACATGTATTTTTTTACATCATCCACTTTAAAAATGTATTTTTTTTTCCCCAATGTCTCTTTTTGCACTAGAAAAAACAGCTGCGCAAATACTGCGTGTAAAAAATTGCAACACCCTTCATTTTATTCTCTAGGACCGCTCCGCTATAAAAAGAATAACGAGGTTCTGAGGGTCCGGACCCAATAAACGTCCTGTGAAAGTTTGGGGCCTAAATTTTCTAGCAAAAAACTGATTTTGAAATGTAAATAAAAATGGTCAGGGAAAAGGCCTGATCTTCAAGTGGATACATTGCACAGGAACGTGCTGCGCATGCAATGCTCTGTGTGCGTTCCAGTGCGATTCACATGCTATCTGGGTGCAGTTTATGATTTCACACCATTCATTTGAATTGGCTGAAATGGCACCAGACCACAGCTAAAGTTGTGCTTGGACTACTTCACAAAAACACACATGGCAACCGGACCGCATGGAACGTCAGTACTTCTGTGCCATGCCATCCAGTGCAGGAAAATGCCCTGTGATTGTGGCCTGCGTTTGGGGTGTCGTTAGCATTGCACTGACACCAGGTGGGGGACACAAACATGGACCTCAGATTTCCCACATCACATTCTGGTGTCAACTGGCCCTCAGAACCACTCTAAACGCATAATCTTCATAGATATTGGGACACGATTGTCGGCACCATTAATCAAGCTTTTTTCAATGACATCAAACTGAACCCAAACCCCTTCACGCCTGAAGGTACAACAAATGTTAATGCCTAAGCACAATTTTGCAGCTTTGACATGCGTTAGTGAAACCGTCATCACAACTACTTTGTGCATCCAGTTGGTAAATGGTAATGGACATCTCCTGATTTTATTTTTATGTGATCAAAGGAAAACAGGCCCAAAATAGTGAAAATCATTTTTTCTAAAGTTAGCTGTATATTTCTTGCTGCTGCCATAACCCACCACCAAAGGACAACCCCCAACAATTCTCCTGCCCCGACGACGATGGCAGCAATACCTCGTATGTGTATGTTAGTTGCTGTTTGTACCGGAGTACAGCCCAGGAACAGTACTGCGCAGTTTTCTTTACATTTTTTTTTACCTACTAAAACACACCGACACTAACTGACACTGATACTAATTTACATAAATAAAATAACCCCCCCAAAATACTGACTCTGACCTTAACCTTTGACCCTGTTATTATTATGTATTTATATTATTATTGATTTTTTTTTACACACTGTTGTTTGTCTCTCTCTCTCCTCTCAGGGAAAAAAAAAGTAAGTTGTGGGCGAAAAAAATGTGATAGAAAACGCAGTCCGTTGGGATGTTTTGAGTTTTTTGATATTTTGACCCGTATGCTCGGATCCTGTGCTGGGAGCTGGCCATACGGCGTGCTCCCACCACAAAGACAGATATGCAAATATGCGGCCCCAGGGAAAATAAACCCAGTCCATTGGGGCCCAAGTTTTGGGCTAAGCAATACAATGTCCTAGGTACCTTAGAAGGTGTGATTACACAGATGTATACTAAGGTGGCCATATCGAGGGCTTTGTTTCAGGCATGGAAACTTATCTTGCTAGACTGGGAATCTCCAACCCCACCCAGTTCCAGGAATGGCTTCACCATATGGACATCACCCAGCATTATTTTCCAGCATAGGGGGTTGCCCAGGAGAGAAAATTTGACTGGAAGTGAACTGTGGGATAGATGGATGAGTACAACCCTGGGTCTAGCGCCCAATTATTTCAGAAGTACACAGATGGATGTTTACAAGGTTGTACTATACTTTTAATTTAACATATTATTTTTCTATCCCACACCAAGAGGGTTCACACTGAAGAAGCCATATCAGTGTGTTCTGAATGTGAAAAACCTTTACATCGACAACAAAGGGATCACGTATCGAACACACAGGAATTTACACCGGAGAGAAGCCATATCAGTGTTCTGAATGTGATATAAACCTTTACATCGAAGGATCAACTTATCACACACCAGAGGATTCACACTACAGAGAGAAGCCATATCAGTGTTCTGAATGTGATGCAGCTTTTACACACAAGTGTTATCTTATCGTCACACACTGGAGGATTCACACTGGAGAGAAGCCATATCAGTGTTCTGAATGTGATAAAGCTTTTACAACAAAAATTATCTTATGAAACACAGAGGATTCACACTGGAGAGAAGCCATATCAGTGTTCTGAATGTGATAAAGCTTTTATTAAAGTGTTCAATCTTATCAGCCACCAGAGGATTCACACTGGAGAGAAGCCATATCAGTGTTCTGAATGTGATAAAGCTTTTACAGTGAAGTCAAATCTTATCACACACCAGAGGGATTCACACTGGAGAGAAGCCATATCAGTGTTCTGAATGTGATAAAGCTTTTACAACAAAAGATAATCTTATGAAACACAAGAGGATTCACACTGGAGAGAAGCCATATCAGTGTTCTGAATGTGAAAAAGCTTTTACAGTGAAGTCAATCTTATCACACACCAGAGGATTCACACTGGAGAGAAGCCATATCAGTGTTCTGAATGTGATAAAGCCTTTAGATGGAAGATCAAATCTTATCACACACCAGAGGATTCACACTGAGAGAGAAGCCATATCAATGTTCTGAATGTGATAAAGCTTTTACAATGAAGTCAATCTTATCACACACACACCAGAGGATTCACACTGGAGAGAAGCCATATCAGTGTTCTGAATGTGATAAAACCTTTACAATGGAAGTCAATCTTATCACACACCAGAGGATTCACACTGGAGAGAAGCCATATCAGTGTTCTGAATGAATAAAGCTTTTACAATTGAAGTCACTGGAAGTCAGATCTTATCACACACACCAGAGGATTCACACTGGAGAGAAGCCATATCAGTGTTCTGAATGTGATAAAGCTTTTACAGAGAAGTCAATCTTATCACACACCAGAGGATTCACACTGGAGAGAAGCCATATCAGTGTTCTGAATGTGATAAAGCTTTTAGAGTGAAGTCATCCCTTATCAGTGTTCAACACCAGAGGATCTTATCACACATTCACACTGGAGAGAAGCCATATCAGTGTTCTGAATGTGTGATAAAGCTTTTTAACACAAAGTCAAGCTTATCATACACACACACAGAGATTCACACTGGAGAGAAGCCATATCAGTGTTCTGAATGTGACAAAACATTTACAACCAACAGCAGTCTTATCATGCACCAGAATACTCACACTGGAGAAAGGCCATATCAGTGTTCTGAATGTGGCAAAGCTTTTGCATATAAGGTTAGCCTTTTCATACACCAGAGGAGTCACACTGGAGAGAAGCCATATCACTGTTCTCAATGTGACAAATCTTTTAAACATAGAGAACAACTTAACACACACAAGAGGGTCCACACCAGAGAAAAGCCGTAGCCGTGTTGTGAGTGTAACAGATTTTTTTTACATAAGTCACAGCTGATCACACACCAGAGGATTCACAGGCTTCAGCTGCAGGAGGTAATGGGGGAGAAAGGGGGGGGTTTTAAAGGGGTAGAAAGCCCAAGACTATTTTACCTTTTGACTTTTTTTTCAGACAAGTATCAACAGTGAATTGTGTTTCCTAATGATTTTAATCTCTATCCTTTTTTATGGAGCTTTGACTGAACATGTAATATATTTTCATCATTCATTAACTGAGCTGTGTTCCCAAGTGTTTTCTTCATTGTCAGATCCTGGGCTAATGCATTACCAACACTGCCTCAGCACCAAGACTAGGTAGTGGTCAAGTGGCATCTTACCAAGCCTCCAAAGCCTCAGTGGGAGAGACTTTTCTAGATTCTGCTGACTATTCCAATATCCGTCTAGCTTGAGGGCTCCAGCTACGCTCACCTTGTCCACGCCTCCCTTCACATATTCCACCTCCCCTCCAATGATCAATGCCTTATTTTCCAGGTTCCTCCTCCTCTTATGGATGACAGCTTTACAGGTAGGACTGCAACAGGGACAACAGCCATGGAGAAATCTCTGTTCAGTGAGAAATCAAATTCCTAAGCTGGTGTAGGCCTTCCAACACCAATTCACTGCTCTTTGTTTGGGATGTGTTCAACAGTACCACTTACACCCAGCTGGCTGCTTGTGTTCCATCTTGTCCTGCCACAAGTCTAAGGGATTCCATCAGGAGAAGATTGGACTTCCTTATTATATTGTCTCTCTGTTCAGCTATTGCTCCTCTCCATAGACCGATCACATACTACGACTGCATCTTCTGGGGGACTGAAATTCCTCTGACTCGGGTTCTCTTCAATGACTCTGAATAGTCAATTCTCTTTTTTTGGGTAGATATTGTTTGTGAAGAACCCTCTTTTGACCCTAGAAACATTTATGATGTTGACCCTAAAGTGTAACTATGGTTAGAATTAATATTTACATAAAGGGTGCAATCTGTCCTGAACCACTTATGGTGATGTCCCAGTTCAGCACATTACACCTTTAGGATTTGTAATCTACCCAAATGTATTATACATCAGTTTTTCATGTCAGAGGGCTTTAATGTGGTAGAAAATGAGGATACGTATATATTTTATTTGTTTTTCTAGGTAACACTTGTGATGTCACTACACTCCTAATGTAAATACGATGCAAAAGAATTCTGTTTTTGTTGCTTTTACAGTGTTCTCCTATGCAGCGATCTGTTAAAACATTGAAAGCCCGGGGGGGGGGGGGGGGGGGGGGGGTGATGATTCCGGTTTGTGTGCTTAGTGCTGAATGCCGGCTGTTACAGAGCCTCCAATACCTGGATCTGGTAAGACCGCTGCCGCTTTAATATGGCCCTGGGACCAATAGCCACTATCCCAGCTGACACTCAAGTGGTTGTTTTTCTGAGTCCTTCTTGTAACATTTTATGACTTGTTGATCCTGCCAGTAGAGACGTTATTTTTTTCTACTTCCTGAAGGAAGGAAACCATCCTAAAAATGGCAGCTGGAGGGGTTGAGACAAATCAAATAACACTGCTGGGGTGCATACAACTGTCAGCTTTTATTCATATGGTCTAAACCTTTGTAGAAAGGAACAAAACTGTTGCTGGAACTGCTTTACAAGTGTCAGTTGAAGTTGATTTGAATGTTTTTTTTGTCTCTTACTGAACCATTTGGCATGTTTAACCTTCTTCCTCTCCAGGCCATTCTCCAGTTTTCAGCACCGTGACATTTTGACTGACAATTACTTGGTCATGCAACACTGCACTTAAATTCATTTTATATCCGTGTTGTGATAGATAGACATTTCTTTTGCTGATATTTAATCATTACTGTTTTTTTTTGTTTTCTCTATGAAAAGAGGAAATTACTTAAACATTTTGAAAAAAAAGTTTCCCTTAGTTTCTGCTCTAAAACTTTACAAATAAATAATCTTCCTTGTTAAATGTAGGCCAAAGTATATTACTCTACTTTTGTTTTTGGTAAAAAAAAAAAATTTTATATTATTTAGTGTGTGTGAAAGTTATGGAGTCTCTCAAACTATGGCAAATACACTGTATTTCAAGGTTACCAACCCAGATGTTGTGAAGGCCGGTCACATTTCTTGAGGTCCTAAAATGCCAGGACAGTACAAACACCCTCCAAATGACCCCTTTTTTGGAAAGTAGACACTCCGGGGTCTTTAGTAAGAATTGTGGCTATTTTTGTTGTAGTTGTAATTTTGTGTCACTTTTTTTGAAAATGAAGCAAGTAAATAAAAGATGTTTTCTTCACATAGTTTTCATTTTAACAAGTTATTTCTCACACACGGCTTAGGTATACTTACAATTACACTCCAGAAAACTTTCTTCTACTCCTCCTGAGTAATACATAGAGGGGCCCTGTGACGGAGGTGTGGGGTGGAACAGAAGACACGCGGAGAGCAGGAGTACACACAAGGCTTTTATTGAAACACAGCATAGGAGCACATGACTGGTAGAGCAGAGTTCTGTTAGACAAAGGGTTAAGTCTACACACAGGATGGGGGCACAGTGGGGGGCACAACTCTGGCCTGGCAAAGGAATTCAATCCATACCACAGGGTTGGCAGAATTCCAGCAGACAAAGGTTAATCCTCAACTAACAGGGTTGGCATGCACACAGGAATGGCAGAACTCCAGCAGACAAAGGGTTAAATCCTCAGCACAGGGTTGGCACACAACAGGAATGGCAGAACTCCAGCAGACAAAGGGTTAAATCCTCAGCACAGGGGGTTGGCATACAACAGGAATGGCAGAACTCCGGCAGACAAAGGGTTAAATCCTCAGCACAGGGTTAGCATACACAGGAATGGCAGAACTCCAGCAGACAAAGGGTTAAATCCTCAGCACAGGGAGACAAAGCATACAACAGGAATGGCAGAACTCCAGCAGACAAAGGGTTAAATCCTCAGCACAGGGTTAGCATACCACAACAGGAATGGCAAAGAACTCCAGCAGACAAAGGGTTAAATCCTCAGCACAGGGTTTGCACACAGCAGGATGGCAGAACTCCGGCAGACAAAGGGTTAAATCCTCAGCACAGGGTTGGCACACAGCAGGGATGGCAGAACTCCGGCAGACAAAGGGTTAAATCCTCAGCACAGGGTTGGCACACAGCAGGGATGGCAGAACTCCAGCAGACTGTCAGGGCTCCCAGGTATGACCAGCACAGATGTGTGACTGATGCAGGGAAATGCAGACTTCAGATATGTGATAAACAATATAATTTATTAACACTAACAATACTAAAACATAATACGGTGCAAAAACAAACCCAACCAACCACCCACAGATAACAGTACATACAAGCAAGCGTCGTCAGGCAGGCCGGGTCAATATCAATTGGGCAGGTAGGTACAGGGGGAGCAAGCGGAGAATGGTCGGGGTCACAGGCCAGGTTCAACAGGTAGCAAGCAGCGTAGTACAGAGGGCCAGGCAGAGGGGATGGTCAGGGTCACAAGCCAGGATCAGAAGCAGGTAGCAAGCAGCGTAGTACAGAGGGTCAGGCAGAGGGATGGTCAGGGTCACAAGCCAGGGATCAAACAGGTAGCAAGCAGCGTAGTACAGAGGGTCAGGCAGAGGGATGGTCAGGGTCACAAGCCAGGATCAGAACAGAGTAGCAAGCAGCGTAGTACAGAGGGTC